TTTAGTTCCAATATATTTTGAAATTACTAAACTTTAAGTTAAGTAAGTTTTTATTTTTATTTTTCATGTCGGTTTTATATTGATATTTTGTACGTTTGCGTTGTCTTTTTATTTCGTTTTGAGACAGATTATTTATTCGACAAGACTTCCCCTTACATATGAAAATCCAATGTCCTGTGAACACCAGCATCGATTCTTACCAAAACTTATCATTTGGGAGCTTACAAGAATTTATTCCACTTTCTACACGAATACGCCTATAAAATATTCTAAACAAATATGTAGTATAAATATATCATCCTTTGCAAATAAGAATTTGCCTAAATTCATATGACTTTGATATAAACCAATATTTAGATCTTAAATAATAGGTTTTCATAGGACAACCAAGCTAAACTAACACAGTATGGGTTAGTACTCGGTCTATTAGGCGACAGTGTGCTTTAACGAATCACAAAATGGGTATTTATATACGCAATTGTTTAGATAGGTTGGTAAACAGTCGATTACGCACACTTAATACGCACGATAAGTGTTCCTTTCGGTATTAAATTAGCAAAGGAACAATGGAACGGAGAATGACTGGCTTTTGTAGCATTTCTCTTTTTTCTTTCCTGTAATATGCGGTTCAATTTGACATAATCACAGCCATTAATTTTCAGTTGTCAATTAAGAAGAATGTTATTCACTTACCACATGTTAAAGATATTTTCGTAATGATTTCCACGTTTAATCGATGTTAAAAAAGGAGGATTTTCTCGATGCGGGTTTTTTAAATGTTTGTTACCTCAGACTCCGTTATTTATGAGCCGAAATCGTTTCTTTAAACTAATTATATCACCCTGAAGAGTGCAAACTGAGGAACGAAAAATACAATTTAATACAATTCATCATGTTATAGGCGCTTTGAAGTCGGTTCAAGTCACGGAGCAAACAAGTATTTTCAAAATTAATTATTGAAATTCCTTTACATTCGTACAAACTCACGACTGCGACTCGTGCGCATATATAAAAATTTCGCAGATTAGAATGCCGCCTTATTCCAATCATTTGACTAAACTGGGTCATTTAACCAGTGTTTTTCGCAACATACGAGCCATCAATCTCACTAAGCCCTGTATTTTTTTTTAAATGAAGGATTAAGACGCCTGTTCGTAGGGATTACAGTGAAAGTTGTTAATTTGTGCTATTAGAATGCTTGACGCGCAGGCAATTAAAACCTGTATGGTGTATGTGTTACGGTCAGAATCGGTCGTAAAAGTGACAGCTTTGTCGGAAGTAACTGTTTGTTATTCTTTATTGCTATGTGTCTAAATATATTAATCATTCCTTAACTACATATATAAAATAAAACTAGACTTATAAGTGATATTTTATGTTTTTATTATACAAACTTAGAAGAAAACATGTAATATTATAATTGGTATCGCCCATTGGTGTAACACTAGTACGCGTATAAATAAAAAACGAACGAATTAAATAAAAATATAAAGTTAAAGTAAACAATGGTGGCAACCCTATAACAGGTCATCTAAAGTCAAACGGAGGTTAACCAATTGTTTGCCGGTTAATCATGTTTCACCAAGCTATTGGTTTAGACTTAGACAGAGTAATTTGAACTTAACTGTAAAAACCGATGTGATAAACCTATTCTTAGATGAAGAACATTTGTTTCACTTAACTATGCGAACGGTAAATTACTAATAAACATTCTACGGATATTAATCACTGTGTTTAGTTTCAATGAAAAGTTAAGTAATAACTGCATAAGTATTTATTTCAATTTATTCAATTCGTGATTTGAATGTCCAGTCAAATCAGACCCTCCTTATTAAACGTCAACATTTAGTTCTGTAGAAATTTGTACGAAATTATGAATTATAGCGCCCTACTTAACTAATGATAATTATTTAATATTTGGTTTGACAATTAAAAAATAATGAGTTTGTTTGCCATTTCTTCTCATAAGGCGCAAAACCTTGGAAACGGGCGGTTGAAGATCGGCACAGGCATATCATAGATTTGGTATAAGACAAAACAGAGATTGTTGCTATTGTGTGTGTGTGTTGACCATGACTTTAGAGTCCACATAAAAGACGAATTCTAACCATTTTTTTTTATGAAATAAAGGTATTTTGAATTCGAATGAGTAACTACAAAGCAGTCTGTGAATATAGTTTTTCTTCATCTTATTTCACTGTTAATTTCACGAGGATTGTTAAATATAATAATTTATTTTAATTATAGGAAGTAACCTATTATCTTAACTTATATGGATATAATGAGTCAAAGCAGACATCTTTGTATCTCAAAAGTGAAAGACTGTACCTTAAATTGTGATGAATGGCTCTTGAATGGATTCGAACCTGTTTACTTTATCTTCATTTAATTGGTTTCGGATAATTTAATCATTTTATAATTTATAAGGAATAGGCGTTGGCAATAGGCTGGCTCCATGTTATGTAAATGGGGCTAAAAAATACAGTTGGTGAAATGTAAGCGTTGAATAATCTCTGTTTAAAACCCTTTGAAGTTATAAGGGCGAGAGTCTTTAGTGCCTCACCATGTATAATTTAATCTACTACTTTATTTTTGTTACGTTATAATTAAGTTTTTTTTTCGTTTATAGTATTGTATGTGATGGTCATCATTAAAATATCGCCTAAATAATAATACTAACTTTATTTCTCTCATAAGGTACAGTAGGTTACAGAGTATCGTATTTACCTACATTTGTATTACAATAATTTAAGTTCCTTAACTGACCTAACCTACATCTACTGTAAATTCAGTTTCATTCCATTTTTTTTTCTCAAACTGATTAAAGTAAACTTAATCCACTCTAAAACTGCAATATCGAATATTTATAACCACTTGAAAGAGATCATTAAAATCAATTGCGTCAATAAAATCGATTCTTTTAATACTCGTTTGTCTCGATAATCGATTTTATATAACGTTATTTTTGTTGTTTATATTGTTTACGATACGAGTTATATGTGTCAAGTGAAAATTACGCAGTCATGCATGATAATTAAAAGGTATAATCCATTTTTCATTGCACGATTTTTTTAATTTATCGATGTGATATACATACAATGATTTCTTAATTGTTCTTACCCCCGGTTTAAAAACCCACATGTACATGTAAAAGTAATTATTAATATGATTTAGGCTCATACTGACGTTTGCCGTTTGAAGTTTAGTAGTCATGTAGTATTCCGTCCAAGTATCAATTGAAGTACGTACACTTGCGGATTATTAACTTTACTACTTTGAGTCACATATCCAAAAAAAAATAAAAGAAAAGATGTCTCGCAAACTTTTATAAAAAAATTGTTCTTTTTTATTTTCAATCAATAAAATATGAACATTCTTTATTGCATCTGATTAATGACATAAAATCATAAAATTCTCGTTATTCAAAAGAAGTTTCCCCTTTTTTTTTAAATTGACCTCAGTACCAATAATTTTGAGTCCACTGAAATTTCACTGAAGCCTCATTAATCATGTGTAACAACGAAGCTCATTATAGGTGCATTTGTAATTGTCAATTTCGGCAGTGTTTTATACCGATACCCAGTAAACTGGGCTGTCAGTGGGGACTTTATCGTCTAGTTAATAAGGATTATTTTGTATTGACCCCACTCAAGGTGGAAGGTGTCGATGTCAAAAATGCAAGCAGTAGGATCGCTAATTACAACTTTATCATCAATCACTTCAATGAATGGAGAAGGGAAGTAAGGGTCTAAAGAAAAGAGCGATTACTTTGATTATCTTATGAAATAGAATCTTATTACAGCTTCTATTAGGTTTAAAATTATGAGAGACGTTTATTCAATTTGTTTTTCTATGTGTATAATCATTCGATACAATTTTACAAATCAAATCTGTATTATAATTGGTTAACGAACAGATTTCGCTTACACAAGTACACAACTGAAATAGCGCATTTTCATTTGATTTTATATTCTAAATCTAATACTTATTGAAAAACTTCTGTTTGTATTATCTTACAATATTAATTTAGGTTAGCAGTGCAACAATATTGCAACCTACAATTAGGCAATAAATAAAATCAGTAGGCGACTCAAGTTATGCAACTAAAGTATAAATAATTTATATTTATGAAAATTTTAAAACCCTCATTTTTACGCACTAAGGTTGACAACATAGTTAGCTTCAATTTGACAGATAGATCTAATATATCAAACTGCTAGACTTTTGCTCATTGTCAGATTCGATTGGTGTTTTTACAATTTGTTGTCACACATGTCTTAATACGAGACTAGTGGGGCGATATTAGAATGTGCCATCTGTAAACAAACATTTTGTCCAGTGTGGGTGTTGGGCGCCAGTGGGTGTGATAATTCGTCTTGCATACACAAAGAGTGCCGTGAGAGAGTGATATTGCTCCCGAAAACGAAACGCGCCGGTTTACATACGAGTTAGTAACGTGGGAGAGGTGAAAGGTCGAAGGGAAAACTTTTAAGAAGCTGATTACACTAGCGAAGCTCTCCTTTGAACCATCGAAACTTAAACTAAGTTAAGTAACGCTCTTACTGTGGCGTTGTCAAAAGGAAACATGAACTTTCTATGTAGTGTAAGCTTAGTGGGATAAGTTACTGAGGTGTAAAGTTTTAAGTGAAGAATGTCAAAAGCAGATAGAAATTATACATAATATGTATAAAATATACAGTATGAGCTGTGATGTAGATGCTTTTATGCTAAGAAAGTCTTGGTTTTATGTTGCCTCAAGAATTCAGAGATTTCAGTTAGATTTATAAGTCCAGTTTTTACCAACGGAGACTTAGATTTAATACCTCTAGAAATGTACGCTGTTAGCCGTTGTAGCACATGCGCGGGGTTTTGCAAAGAAAGCTCCTTATTCACAAATGTTCATAAAATGTAACGATGAAATGGTGAAATGATATTTATTTCTGCAAGTATATTGCAAGCAGAAATTGAATGTTAATGTATGGTTTTTGTTTTTCTTACAGGCATACGAGTTGTCGACCCTGACGGGGACACAAGTGATGTTGCTAGTCGCGTCAGAAACGGGTCACGTATATACCTTCGCTACGAGAAAACTGCAGCCAATGATAACGTCAGATTCCGGCAAGCGGCTCATCCAGACCTGCCTCAACTCACCAGACCCGCCGACTACCAGCGAGCAACGCATGGCGGCGACCGGCTACGAGGAAACAGAGCTCACGTATAACGTAGTAGACGAGGATATGAAGGTGAGGCAATTGGCGTACGCGGGTACCGCGCAGTACCCAATGGACCATCACCCCGGTCTGGCTCCATCGCCGCTGCAGCAGTACCACCAGCACCCGCCGTGCCCCTCGCCCCTCCCTCTCGGCTCTTTGGGTCAACCTTACTCCCACGCTCACCTTTCTCATCCCCACATGTCCCATCACCCACAACGGTAGTTTCGATGGCACTTAGAATAAATCCTGATCGATGTGGCCCCCAGCGGTGGTTACGACTGTTTAATAAGATAGTCACGTTCTAGATTAGCTTTTTTAGATAAGAGAAAGAATAATATACAAGCAATAAAATGTTTTGTTAATATATTTTGTAAATATCTATAGTTTTCGCTGATCACGTAATTTCAAGGGTTTGAGTTACGGACGAAATTTCGAGATTTATGAAAGTATTTTTTGCGTAATGTAATAAAATTGTTTCGTGTATGTTGATGATTGAAGGTCCCATAGCCGACTGCGAATCGAGATTGACGTATTCATTCAGTTCGTTAAAGATAAGAAGCAGCCGTGAACGTAAGAAATGAATTATCATGTGATGGAGTTTTACGCTTCCGTTGACGGAGAGATGGTCATTTATCATGATTATATCGAACTTTATTCGTTCTTGTTTATACACAAGTACCTGAAGTGTAATCAGTACATGATTTCACTTTGTTGCAGCTCTAAATCAATTTAACAACTATGATTCAATTATTTCAGACAAAAAATCCTATCAATGAAATTGATGATCTATTCCACCAGACGTCAGAACCGATATACATGCTCCAGCGGTGTTCGGTAGCGAAATAATCTGATTTAAAATCGGTTTGTAATTAACGCCATGAACTGGTTTATCGTTTAGAGTGACGACTCGGAAATGGGAGCGGTCGCGCGACTATTGATTCATTATTATGAATGAATCAGCCTTTCATTCTACTTTAAAGAGTTCACGTGTTTCAAACGGTACCTAATAATGTTTATTTTAAACCAATACGTTGCGAAATGCTTTAACGACCACTTTATTAGCATACATTGTATAGTCGGACAACTTTTAAGAAAAAAAAAGAAAAACTAAGCTAAAACAATTTGTTATTATTTATAAAATTCCAAAGAGATATACGAATAATGTTATCAACAAACTAGATAGCAGGTGTTGGTAGTAACTAGAAAATTTCAAATGACGACAGACGCTGTCGCCCGAGGTTCTAAGTCCCATCCGATCGTATGATCCGGATTATCAAAACTTAATTGAAAATTACTTTCGGTGGTACCGTGGCAGCCAGTAATTACATATTAATCACTCTCCTGTCAAGTACGAGGCCGGCCGTTGTGTTACAGGGAATAACAATTTAAGTAACTCGGTAGCTTTCACATTTACCTAACGTACGTTAGGTACGTCACAGATCACGAACATAAACCATAATAACCCAACGTGCATTAGCATACATAGTCTCGGGTATCTAAGAGTGTTGTACACGAATAAGATAATCAATGAAACTCGCAATTGATCAAATACAGCCAAATACGGCAAGTTTAAGACACGTCAATTCATTCATTCGCGCGGATTTGATTCCATTCATCCATTAAGCGATGAACTCACTTTGCACCACTAATCGGACACTATTTATTCATCGATTTGTACACAGTAGCTGGTCTCGCTGCCGCCGCGTCGACTGCACCCGTCGATTAATTCTCATGCCTAATTTGCATATCGTTTTAATTTCGAACCCATCCGGCGCCCACTGAGCCTTCGCCCCCGACCTCGAATATCGCTTGTCAGCTCGGATATGTTGAAATCGATTACGTCGATTCTTTCGTTTCGCGAATGGATCGATAAAAATCTGTTCTTCAGGTGGGTCATTCTCACCGGCTCCAGGTTTGATGTACGGAAATAATACATCCGACCTGATATTCATCGTTATTGTTCGCGCATCATCGATAAGTTGAATCGATTGAAATATTCACGCGGTAATTACGATTCTGAGAGATAAGCGCGTCCCGCGACGAACGCGCCTGAGATCTATATCTCGCTGTTCTATTCGTTGTACATGTTTTCGTGACTTTGTTTTGTGTTGGACATACCGTATCTCGTTTATGTGTCTTAATATTCAAAGGCGGCATTTTTCTCTCCCGCTAGGAACAGTTTCACCTGTCATCACTGTGAAGTCGTTTACATAAATATCATTCTTTACGTATTCTCGGCGTGTAATATGCGTCGTCTGCTGTATCTGTTCCGTGAATATAAACTGTATTAGCGGGGCGAGTGTTTGGCGTAACTCTGCCGTAGGATGCAGATGCTCTTGTGCATGAATTAGCGTTTTAAATGTGGAAGTTGGTCAATGCCCTCGTAAGCTCGTATCCCCTAATCGAGAATACACTCATTTCGTAACATCGCAAACTCTTGAGATTTCGCTTTCGACGCGCATGCCCACCGACATTCCTATATGGATAGTTTTTCTGGCTTTGTAGATCGGTTTAATGTTTTATGACTTTTTATAGAGATATTAAGAACCTACCTATACTAATCATTAGTTGTTTTGACTAGCTAAAGCCAATTAATTACTAGTACGAATGGAACTAGGAGGCTTCGCGCATATTGAGTCATATTTACATAACGTATTCCATACGCAGGCGTCTGAGACTCGTGGCGTCTATTTTCCACAACATCTAGTAATCGCTCGTTAAGACTCTCGCACCCCGCATTATTAAGTTATCAATACTATTGTTTTGATAAACGCTCATCGCAATTTCTGCTGACTCATCGTATTGTATCACCTAATGTGCCTACATAATTGTCTGTAGTGTAAGCCGATTGGTCGCCTTGTGCAACTCAAAGACAACAATAAAGCTAATTTGACTAATAGGTGCGTTGTAATCATCACCGCGTGTGGTTCTAGGATTACAAGATTGCGCCGACTCTCCACTGTATCAACGGGTAATGAACGTCGTACAACGTCTATTGTTCTAGTTCAGCTTTATTTGTTCTTTTGTTCGAATAAATATTGATTATCCAGGGGACGTATCTGCTTGTACATTTTGAGTAAGCGGATAAATAAAAAAGTAATCAAACCCGGGTCTCTGTTGCTGCGATCATTAATTTATTATTCCTTGCGTGAACGAATCGTCGCTTCGATTTTTTTTTCATTATTTAATGTTTGCAAAATTTACGTTAAATGATCGGTTCTTCCCTGTAATTAACGCGGTGCCGCCCGACCACCCGGGCTCAAGATCGATGGACCCAAGTCGATCAGCCATAAGGCTAATATTCGTAAACCGCCTTTGCTGTGTCCTCAGCCCGCGGATAAATGAAGAGATCCGTTCAATGGGAGGCGCACTCGCAATTTAGTGAAATTTCTACAAGACCAATGACCGTAATAAATACCATTCACGCGGTCATTTAGGTAATGGATCGTGGAATTAATATGGGACGCAATGTAGTGTCGCCACTCGCGAGTGGATAGCCACATTGCCAGTGGGATGGCATCTTTCGCTCAAGATTTGGCCAGTGTGTTATTTAGAGAGCGTTGCTTATCTACATTCGCGGTACGTATAATTTTAGGAGCAGCGCTGGGCGTCCACTCCGTGCACTATTACGGCAGACCTGCGCCTGCGCCGCTGTTGCATAATTCAGACACGAGCCCCGCCGTTTGCATTCCGATACTTGATATGTGCTTTCACATGTATTTATGGACAAGATTTTGTGTCTCCGTAATGTTTGGCGAATAAATAAATTGTATTTAAGGCATAAATACAATGGGCGAGCCGGCAGCTCCCCTCGTTACGTCGGCAAATGTAAAGTCCGAGCAGCTTCTTGTGTTTTCAACATGTCAGACGGTGAGATATACCGCGGGTCGTTGTGATGCGCTCGCTTATTTCGTTGTTTAGGTACATCGTTACACTGCGCTTTATGTCGGCGCTTACAAATTGGCCAGTACCGACACGGCTCGCTTGGGAGGGCGTCACAAATCCTCCAACCAAATTATGCCCCGACGTTTACATTATACATCATTCTCGTGGCGACGGACGCTTGACACATTTATTAATACATGTCTCACATTTATGATACCAACAACAAATTATATCTATCTATTTTGAGCAATAGCTTTCAAGAATAACTAAAGCTTTGCAAATAAATTTCCAAGACTTAACGTCCACCTTATTTTCTCAGATACATTGTTTTGTGTATATTCTATTGGCCTGTGCCAGCTAATCCGACGAGAACATCATTATCTAGTAGCAGCATCGAATCTAACAATTCCACTCACATCTCATTTACCGCAATTCTAATGATTTGCGGCGGAGGTCCCCTTTTGTATGCGTTGGACGCGGTCATTCGTATGCATGTTGTTGCGCCGCTATCCCGGGCTGTATCTCCAGGAACTTCCGTGAAACCGCGCCCGATTGCTCTAATTGAAATTTATCCGCGTCCTCGATTACAACCTCGAAGTATCTTTTTAATTCGTTCTCATTAATGAGTGTAAGCGCATTGTTTTCTTCTTTATGTATGCACCCGATTATGCGATCTCGTTTACTGGATTGACGCGAGGACGGGCCTCATCCATTATAGATTTTGTCGGGAGTCTATCGACCGGCTACATACCCAGACGTCATTTCGATAATTGGACCCTCGATTATAGACCACTTGCGCAATTCACTAACATCTGTGCTGCTCCTTTGATTGATATCTATTGCGTGATAGGATATATTTCAGTCCAATTAACCACAGTTAATTCAACATTTATTAAGACACTACATTGTCACATTAAGACAACACATTGTCTTTAATCAAATAAAATATAAGCAAACTACTTGTGTTTGTTAGCCTGAATTATTAATTGGCACTTTGAAATTAAGAGTTAATCGCAAAATTATCTATGGTAGGCAGTAGGTAGGTAAATTAGTTATGGTAGGGCCGATAAAAAATTATCAGTTATGGTGGACGAATGTTACTTATCAAAATCCGACGTCGATTAATTCGACGAATCCATGTCGGCCCACTTCCTAAAACTAGTCTGGGAGACGCAGATGGTTAAAATTAGGCCCGCGCCGAGAATAGCGTAAACTGCGAGCGGAGCGCGTCACCACGCGCGTTCCGACCTGCTTTAGATATTGTGTTACAGTACATCACATCACATAGATGTTGATTTTCTTCCATCACTGCCACGTTATTTACTACACGCGTGATCCATACCATGAATCATACTGGCGAAAGCATGCCGAGAATACTATGTTTCTACTCGTAGCACATACGTTAGAAACTGTGTACGTGAATGCCGTTTGATTTATCTTATGCTTTGATTAAAAAATGTAGACATCCAAACATATTAAAATGTAAGAATATTATAAACAATGGATTGCCTACCATCACCAAGCTTTTGGCGCCACGTGGTCGGATATAAATAACTTTATTTTATTAATGTGCTCCGCCTCTGTACATTAAAATATTCAGCACTTCAGATTACATTTAAAATACTTGTTTAATAAATGCAATGACTCAAAATATTCGCTCGAAAGCATCGGTCAAAGTTCTTTATCAAAACATGACAACATTTTTTTAAATTTATTGTTCAAACAATGTATCTTATTATCATTGACAGAAACTTATCGGTCAAGCTTTTGTAAGGCGATCTATGCGCCGTTTTGGCTTCATCACCGCGTGTCACTAGGATCTATCGGTTGTAGTACAAGTCCGTTTTGTAAAGTAATGTCTTCACTAGTGGTCATAGTGAAATGGTATTGGATATAGTTTGGTGCGATCGTTCCGCGTCCATAAATTCAAACTAGCGTCCTAGTTGAGCTCGACCGTTACCGCGTGGGAAATGATTGGGTCCCTGCTCCGGTCGGTAAGGCTTTGTTAGGACGATTGTCCACCGGAGTGGTGTAGATGCGCCGATAGGCTGTGTATAGTGTGCCTTTGCCTGCGGTGACAGCTACGTGGGAACGTCGACCGGGATTGTGTGTAAACGCCCGCTGTTATTTGGTTACAATTGTCATTTTCGTTTTTGAAGATTTATAGGCACAATTCGATTTTATATTATTTCAAATAAAAGCCTCGATGTTATTCACCTTTAATGATCTATGTGTGGTCGTAAATAGCTGATTCTGGATTAGTTTAAGCAATATGATAACGGTTAACGCCTTAAAAATTAGGCAAGTTTAAAAGTTGTATTGTTCAAAAAATAGAAATAGTCTACACATCTCACTATAGCACGTATTTACATTTCATTTTCTACATTGTGTTATGTTGTTTTCCCTAAAAACACTTGTGCACATAGAGTGGAATTGTACTTCCAGTTATAATGTATTCAACACGCGTGCGGCGCTAACTCGAGGGCCATTCAATACTGAAAACAAATCCTTAGCTTTTGAGACCGCCGATCCATCACAAAAGTTTTTCTATAGGCAGTATCAACGAGCTTTACACAAACAAAACCTTTTCAAATGCAAATACTAAGTACGTGCGGATTAGTTCCGCTCGTACTCGTGGGAAATGTCTAATGTCCTAAACTGGCCTTTGAAAACAGACTAATTGTCGTTCTAAACATTAACCTTATAAGGCCACCTACATAAACGGTGATATAATCGAAGCATTGGCTCATGGTTGCATTAGCATGAGGCGTGGGCGACGTCCTTCCACGTCGAACGTCGATCGTGTAATACCCTGCTTCGCATACGCGCGCGTGCACTGAGCCTGCGCTCATACGTCTGTGCATGATTTATGTATGACCACTGTAGCTCGCGTTGTTTCATTTAACTAGATATGTTCCGGAATTATTATGTTAGGGACAACTGTCGCACTGTTGTGATCGTGTCGTGAATCCCAAATCGTTAATGTGATGTGCATAAAGTTGAGTTAAGTTTCAAGGTTCGTCAATGCTAAACTATCTAGCTAGACTAGAATCATTTTTCAAAACCA